ATATATACCATCTTGCTTTTATTGCAGACGTTCATCTTCCAATCATCGCTATATAAATTTGATGAAGAAAAATCACCCAAAAGCCTGGGGTGGGGGGACAAAAAATTGTTTGTTTTTTTAACCTAGCTTCTGAAACTGAGTAATGGGAGGAGCTGTAGTGAGGGAGTTCCACAGTCTAGGCAATTCCATATAGAAGGCCCTATTTCTGGTTAACAATAGTAGAACTGAACTTGCCTTTTCCATATGTTTATGAATAATTTGATAGCTGTGATTCCATTCCACTCCACTCCTGTGCCTCTTTTCTCTTTCAGAGGCTCTAGCTTTTCTTGCAACTCCTTCAACAACCGGGAGAGCCCTCCTCAGACACAACCTGGTCTTTGTGGGCTCAGTAACCTTGGAAATACATGTTTCATGAACTCTGCATTACAGGTAAAGAGCTGGTAGATATTTTGAATGGTATAGTAACTGATCCTTAGGTTTTATCTACATATAACTCCAGCTGTTAGGTTTCATTATTGCTTGAAAAGCTACATAAACATAGGCATGAAATAAACCCAATCCATATTATTCCTCTCTTCTTTTAGCAATACCGACATGCAGGCCATAAATTAACAAGCAGTGGAATTATGTATATGTATGTGGAATTATGTGTGTGTGTATGGAATTGTGTGTGTGTGTGTGTGTGTGTATATATATATATATATATATTAGTTCTTCTTGGTATTTATTAAATTTCTAAACCACCCTCTACCGTAGGGCTCAGGGCAGTGTATCATAGAATCATAGAGTTGGAAGGGACCTCCAGGGTCATCTAGTCCAACATATTTAAGATACAATTCAGTTAAAATATCACAGTGCATAAATTTAATTTAAAACCAAATGATCAGTCATAATTCCAATAAGACCAGTGGGAGCATTAACCTTCTGTCTTGGATGGTGTTCTGCAGGTGGTCACTTCCTCTAAAGGGAGGGGTCATGGTAGTTCTTATTCATGGTCACTATGCATCACAGATACGGGATCTTAAGCACACATGCAGAGCCTACCTCAGAGCCTATAACAGCTATAAAACTTTGAGTGCAAACTTACCCACCCTCAGTGGCTGCTCACTGCATGAGGGTGGAGCTGTGCTTACCTGTCAGTTCTTCTTTAGCCACCACAGCAGCAGCCACTAGAGGGACCTTCACATTGTCAGTTTCTCAGCCTATCTATTTAAATACTGTCAAAGAGAATATCAAAGAAAACTTTACTTAGGTGTGGGCTGCATGCTTATGGTGCAGCATACAACATTTAAGAATTGTTCTCCCTGCAGGGGGGAAGTTCCATCCATATACAGACACAGACTTTGTCTTTTATGTTTGGAGGAGGATCTAGGAACCAATCTATTGTAATTGTTGTTCTTGGGACTGAGAATATTCTTCATGGAGGAGCTATAGATGCTACAGCCCATCCTGTTCATTATGATGCTCTAGCAAGTCACATTCTTGGGATCAAGAGATGAGGCAGGGTGTTCTCTTATTGGCCTTGAGGGAGCACCTGTGCTCGAGATGGAGAGGAGAATTTTGCTGGAGCAAAATACTAAGAGCATAGTGTTTACACTGCTTCTGAAAAAAGGCAAACTAAAAATTTGGAAAGTCTAGTAGTATAAGTTTATTGTCTTAGCCATAGGCCATAACATAATACATCGGACTATAAAATGGTAATATAAACAATAAAAAATGTCAGTATACTCCTATACTCCTTCTACTTTGCATGAAATACTAAACTCATTCTGATTTTCCATGTTGCTAAGGCAAATAGCGCCATTCTGCTAGAGACATAGTGGTCAAAGTCCAAGAGTAAAAATTTGACCAGATCCAGATCGGAGAATCTATTAGGCTGCAGAATAATAGGGATTATGTACTTTACCTAGGGGCTTCATGCCATGGGCATCTCAGAATATAATGTGCAATATCATCAACTTCCCCTATATCACAAAGACAAAGTCTAAGGGGGGCAGGGATACCAAAAAAACATCCAGTCCTGATCACTGAGGGCATGGATTGAAATCTTAAAGCTGTAAAAGCCGATCTTAATTTCAGGCTGGTTAACTTCTCTAAATACAGGGACCTATAGTGATCCCTTTTTAAAAACTTGAATAATGGTGCCGTAAGACAACGTGCCATCACATCCTGATCCATAAGCCCATCCTTTTTGAACATCCATTCCTTTAGTTCCTGTGCTTGGGTTTTATTCCTTAATAGATCATCAGGAATTGAAAATTTCAATTGAATCGAGGCCAAATGGTCACCTAATCTCTTGGAGGCTTTCAGGTGCAAACTAGAACTTAAACCCCCCAGGGAATTCTGGGGTCATTCTAAACATTTTCTCCAATAGGATAGAATTCTGACATTCACTCTGCCATTCAATGAGGTAATTCCCAGTTTAGCCTTCATTAATGCCACTGGTACACCCCTTGGCAAGGCGAGAATCTGCCTCATAAAATAATTCTGTACTATTTTTAATGAGGACAATATCTGATCTCCCCAGCCCCAGATCTCTGATCCATATAGCATGGCTGGAATTATCTTACTCCCATACAGTTTAAAAACTGGGTCTACCATGCCTCCTCCCTTAGAAAAGTAGAACCAGTAGAGCCCCCAAATTCTTCATACCAGCAGCTTTTAATGATGTAAGATGGGGGCGCCAGGACAGAGTTTCAGAAAACGTTAAACCCAGATATTTATAAGTGCTGCATTGTTCAATCTGGGTGTCAAGAATGCTCCAGGTAGATGTCTTTGGGCGTTTCCTAAAAACCAGAACTTTTGACTTGGCATAATTTATTTGCAAGCCTTCTACATTGCAGTACTCAGTGGCAATGTTCCCTCTAAGCTCTGGAGTCTTGTGAGCAAAAATTCTCCTTTGTGAGCGACTGGCATGAAAGTTGTGAGCGAGGGATCTGGCTCCTGCATCAATTAGTTTGCTCTGCAGCTATCCCTTCCTGAGCAAAGACAAAAATGTGTGCAGAACTTTTGACTTGGCATAATTTATTTGCAAGCCTTCTACATTGCAGTACTACTCACCCAATTTATTCAGGAGTCTCCTCAAGCCAATCTTGGTTAAGGCCAGAAGGACCATATCATCTGCATACAGAAGGATTGGAACCTTATGTTGTCCAATGGCGTTGCCAGTTTTTCCAGGTTACAAAGGGTGCGTGGGACAAGTCAGCATAAGCACCACTTATGGGACAGTGGTTGGAGGGCATGTATAGAGTACAACAGGAGTTGTAGAGTATAACAGGAAGACTATTTGTAGATCATGTACCAACATTAGATTGTAGTAGAGGTGTCAATGTCTAAAAATAAGCAAAAAGTCCATGCAGCACCTACTCACATAAAGGGCGAGAGAATGAACGCTGTGAGCAGAAAAATTTGTCTGCTGGTCTCCTCTCTCTTTTTGGATTGTAAATGATGCAGCATGTATGGCTAGGTATCAATATGTACTGCAGAACTGCATGTTACCTGTGATTCACCATCTTCAGAACACAGAGTCAGGCTTCATGGTTCAAGCAGAGGCATTCAAGTTAACAACACAGCGGATAAGAACATTTCATCATATTGCAGGCAGTAATTCTAAAATATTAGCAGGAGCAGTGACACTCAGGCACCTTGCTTGGGTGAAATCCGTGACTTTGACCAATGAGGCCAAGCATGTATTCAGGACTCACATTTTGAAGGGGAAGACTATTGAGTGGGGAAACTGGAAAGAGTTCAGAAGCTTCACTCCACAGCAGAATTAATGGGCTTTTCTCAGACTCTTACATGGTCCTTACAAACAGTAAGAAGAAGTGAGCAGTGACTCACAAAAGTTCATACCCTGCCACAAACTGTGCTAGGCTTTAAGGTGCTATTGGACTCTTGCTCTTTTCTACTGAAGCAGTGACCATGGAGTAAGTTTAAGGGAGGATGTATGTCAACTCTGCTGACAGATCTCCAAGTAGGAGATTGTATAGCTCATCTATAAAGTGGACCTTTTCAAAGACTCAAGGTTCACAACATACCAAGGCCACACCATTGTCTGAATGAGGTCTTTGACTCAGGAGTGGTGGACAGACCTTGATCCCCAGTTCTCAGAAACCAATAATCATACTAGGTTATGGCCATAGAATTTGGAATATAACCTGTTGTCAGTGTTTTCAGAGTTACAAGCCCACAGCTGTAACACATGCAAGATTGAAGATGAGACTGTTGCAAATTTGGTTTCAGACCGCAAATTCAAAAATTGTTGACTGTTCTGTATGCACCAAGGTTAGCACAAAACTCTCTTGTTTGGTGGCTCAATCAAAACAATTTAAGGGGCACCAGAATCATCAAGACATCACCTCAGGTCACATCGATGATAGATATGTCACTTTGGGGATGTCGAGGACACTGCTAGAGACATTTGATCATCCATTGGACTCACAGAGAGGCTGCAATGCACATTAGTATGCTGGAGCTTCTCACTACACTCAGGGTAATTCAGGCTTTTTATCCCATTGTTAGGGGGAAGTCAGTTCAGTTCAGTCACAGGCAACATCTCGTTGGTATATTACATCACCCTGACCTGGATTGCTCAGGCTAGCCCAATCACATCATATCTCGCAAGCTAATCAGGGTCAGCCCTGGCTAGTATTTGGATGAGAGACCACCAAGGAATACCAGAGTTACTACAAAGAGGCAGGCAGTGGCAAACAAACCATCTCTGAATGTCTCTTGCCTTGAAAGCCCTACCAGGTCACCATAAATCGGCTACGACTTGACAGCAAAGGGAGGAACTTGCCCAGGTGGCGTGGAGGTATGGGTTGGGTTGCCATCAGTACGCTGATGACACCCAGCTCTATCTGATGTTGGGTGGCCAGTCGGACTCCGAACCGGAAGATCTGGACTGGGCGTTACAGGCCGTGGCTGGTTGGCTTCGGCTGAGCCGGTTGAAGCTGAATCCGGCGAAGACGAAGGTCCTGTGCCTGAGCTGTGGCGGTTCAGGGTTGGGGGTCCCGCTCCCAGCCTTCAATGGGGCACTCTTGTGCCAGCGTCAGAGGTTAGGAGTCTGGGGGTGCTCCTGGATGCCTCCTTGACCATGGAGGCCCAGGTAGCGGCCACAGCTAAATCGACATTTTATCATCTTCGACTGGTTCGGCAGTTGGTTCTCTTCCTTGACCACCACGACCTGGCGACAGTGATCCATGCAATGGTCACCTCGAGACTTGACTACTGTAATGCTCTCTACATGGGGCTGCCCTTGTCCCAAATCCGAAAGCTGCAGCTAGTGCAGAACGCTGCAGCCAGGCTGTTGATGGATCTCCCACGTTAGGAGCACATCCAGCCTGTGCTTAGGTTACTGCACTGGCTGCCAATAGCATACTGGTGCTTACCTTTAAAGTCCTACGTGACCAGGGACTGACCTACCTGAGGGACTGCCTTTCCCCTTATGTACCCCAGAGAGCACTACGGTCAGGGGCCCAACATCGTTTGACTATTCCGGGCCCCAAGGATGCAAGGCTCACCAGTACCAGGGCCAGAGCCTTTTCTGTGGCAGCTCCTTACTGGTGGAACGAGCTCCCGGAGGAGATCAGGGCCCTGCGGGACCTATTACAGTTCCGCAGGGCCTGTAAGACAGAGCTCTTCCGCCAGGCCTTTAAATAGGAGCCGCCACTACTGTTACTATCAATGATCCTATTGGATTTCTGGATCCTAGGACTGGCCCAGATGTATCGCTAGGCCCATCGGTTCATGGGAAGATGATCGAACAACATGGATTTAGATTTGAAAGCACGCCATCACATTTTTTAGCACTGCAAGTACTTTATTGCTAATTGTTAATTACATGTATATGAATGAGTATGTATTTTATGTAGTTTTAAATTTTTATGGTTATGCTGACTAGGTACATTGTACCGCTTTTGTTAGCTGCCCTGAGCCTGTTCGCAGGATGGGCGGGGTATAAATATAATAAATAAATAAATATTTACCTACCTTGTGCGTCCTAGCATGCAATCTGTGTGATGTACAGAGCCATAGAGAAGAGACTGCTTACCTGTAATGGTGTTCTTCAAGTGGTTGTCTGTGCAGTCACATGATGCACCCAGGCCTCCCCTGCAACAGGTATATGTAATTTATCTAACCCGAAGGAAGAGCACAGCTCTGCTGACCCTGGCTGCAGATGACGAGCAGTTGTTCTGGGTATGGAAGCTTGCACTCAAAGTTTTGTAAGTTCCAGGGTAGGCTCTGTGTGTGCACTTGAAATTCCACAGTTGTGACTGCATAGACCACTCAAAGAACAGCAATTACAGGTAAGCCACCTGTTTGGGGGGCTACTTCTTCTTTTTGCTGTAGTATTATTCTAGTTTGCTGTAGGATGAAAATGGAGGGTGGCATAACTTTTCTTACATAGCCTTTTTTTCTCTCTGGACGTCATTCTAGTGTTTGAGTAATACCCCTCCACTGACTGACTATTTCCTGGAAGATAAATATGAAGCTGAAATAAATCAGGACAATCCTCTTGGAATGAGAGGAGAAATTGCAGAAGCTTATGCAGAGCTCATCAAACAGATGTGGTCCGGCAGGCACTCTCATGTGGCTCCCCGCATGTTCAAAGTAAGTGGACATTCTGCAAGCACTGTGTGGCTAGATTCACATTTATGCTGCCATGCTCACTAGGTAAAGCTTTCATACTACACCTCAGGGGAGTCAGTTTCCAAATCTCAAAAAAAAGCTTTTGGCAAGGAAGTTTTTCAGGCTGAACCTAAAAGAATTTCAAGCCGTAAAAGGGCTCCCTAGTATTATGATGCCCTAGTTGTCAAAGTTAAAAAATATTTTTTGAGGCTTGATGATGGGATACAAGTTTACATCACTCTCAAACTACTTGAACATTGAGCTGCTTTGAAGTAGTTTAGAGAAATGATAGGTGTAGACTAGGATTGCAAACTTTGCTTTTGTTCGTAATTGTACCGTTTTCTGTTGTGGGGACCCATGCACACAAGCACATGAAGTTGCCTTATATTAAATCAGACCATTGGGCCATCAGGGTTAGTACTGTTTACGCAGACTGGCAGCAGCTGTCCAGGGCATCAGGTAGAGGTCTTTGATACCACCTATTACCTGATCCTTTTAACTGGAGATGCCAGTGATTGAACCTGAGACATTTCATGCCAAGCAGATGTTGTGCCACTGATCCATGGCCCCTTCCCAAGTCCTCCTTGAATTCTTTTGGCATTAGGTGCTTCTGTTCATGAAATACAGATTATCTTTCAGTGAACAGAATACTGCCTAACATCAGAGGAGCATGCTCTACAGTGGAGAACTGTTCCCCTTCCCACTATGGATAAAGAAGGGGCTCAGACAGAAGCAAGGCATTTAGGTTTAAACACTTGTTAGCACTGTGTGGTGAAACAGGTAAAGAAATGTACCCCATTAGATCTTATTCAGCAGTGTGGGTTATAAAATGCATATTCTCCATCCAGAAATAGCAGTGGTGATTAACAAAACTGATCCAGTGATCTGATGTGCCTTGGTGTTCTCTCCGCTTTCGAGCCATTGATGTAAACAAGCTAGAGTACAACCTTTATATTGTACAAAAATGAAACCAGAATTAACAAGTTTGTTGCAGTTTATCTGCAGTTTTCCTAACATTTACTCTGCTTTCCCCCCCTTAATTTTAGACCCAGGTGGGCCGATTTGCACCTCAGTTTTCGGGATATCAGCAACAAGATTCCCAAGAACTTCTGGCTTTTCTTCTAGATGGTTTACATGAAGATTTAAACAGAGTAAAGAAGAAACCTTATTTGGAGTTGAAAGATGCTAATGGCAGGCCTGATGTGGTCAGTATAAAGACAGTCTTCTTGGAATTGAGTTGCTGTTATATTGCTGCACAGAAGTTACAAAATTAAGGAGAGAAATTAGATCCTATCAGTTTTTCCTGCCTATCCAGCTTCCCTGTCTTTCATTGAGCACATGTATCTATTGTTTTCCCTCTTCAGTAATCTAATACAAAGGTTCCTGTTTGTGACTTTGTGTTCCCAAGTAGTGACTGAAAAGTGAATGATACAGATTTTTAAAATATTCTTCTAGCAGGGATTCTAAATCTTCACTTTGTTGTCTTAGTTCTGATCCTTCAGGCCATTATTTGGAAAACTTCGGGATAAGCCCCAAGTTTGCACGTTCGTTTCTTATGTGTACTTGGCTTATGTGACTGTTGGCTTGTTGAGGTCAGCATTGCCTGATTTGACTGGCAGCAGCTCTCCGGAGTCCTGGGTAGAAGTTTTTCACATTATGTGACAGCTATGTTCTCTAAACAGCCACCTTCTTAGGTACTCTTCCTTAGAACTGTCCATACTACAGGTATAGGTTGTGGGGGGTTTTCATTGTGGGTCCAGTCCTTTGGAGTGGCCTATGAGGGTGGGATGAGAGTTTTATTCCAAGTATTTGGTGGAGGGTAAACTGATTTGGCTACAGTAATAACTGGTCCTACAAATTGTGCAGGTCACTTGGTATGATTTGGTATTTTGTTCTGGGTGGGGGAAATGTGATCTGAGGGTGGAGGAATTGATGTTTCTTGTGTAATGGACAGAACACTCTTTGCTTGGATTTAGACTTACAGAGATGCCATGATTCTGCAGGGGTGGGTGGATCTATTAAAATTATCTGCCCCGGAGCAAAATAGATCCAAATGGCTTTGCAGGGGTGTCAAACTCATTTGTTATGCGGGCCAGATCTAACATAAATGAGACCTTGTCGGGCCGAGCCATGTGTGTCATAAAAGGTAATGCCAGGTAGTGGAGATATAAACTTTATAAAGAACACAGACAAACACAATTAAAGATTTTAAAAACTTTAAATAACACATTTCCAGTGAGTTTGACACCCTTGTGTTTAGGAGATTTCCCTGTTGATATGGTTGGTGCTTGTGTCAGTGCCCTGGTTGACCTCTGGAATGAGAAGATGACTCCGCAGTTGACACAGTCACTCCCAGGTGTCTTTTCTCAAGTGTTTGAGCCCAGGTAGTCCCTTGATTTACTGATGATTCTTTGAGGCCAGCCACCTGCTTTTATGACCCAGGTTTTCAGAATGCTGCACCCTATTATCTGTTTATAAAACTGCCACATGTTCATACATCTTTTGTTTTAAGTAAATAAGTCAGAAATGTTCCAGTCTCTTCTGCTGAGCCTTCTCCAATTTGTTGGTATCCCCCCTCCCCTTCCAGTCCTTCCTGCTTTGCAGTGACCTCTGCTCTGGTTACCTCAGTACTACAGTTTCTCCACTCTCCAGCTGAGGGGGAAGGAAGGGGGGGAAGTTTTTTAAAATGCCAGAAGCTTTCTCTCCCTTTACCAAGTAAGCAGCTGTTCCTGAGGCCATATTGAAATAGCCTGTTTCCCTCTCAGTCAATACAGTTTACTTTGTTAAGCACAAATTAAAGACATGCTTTGTTCATTCCTTCAGTATTTCATGTGAATGTCTTAAACATTAGAAATGAGGCAAACTTTTGCAGAAAGCAACTTATTACTCAAGTTTGGCAACTGCACTGCGGTATAGTCTAACCAATTTCATGTATGTTTGCAGACTAGCCGTTGTTTCTAGTATTGTCTTATGGCTTGGTCATCTCTGTTAGGCACCTTGATCTCCAGCCAGCCCATCTAGTCTGTCTGTACGTTAGTTGTAGATTAGCTGTATACTGATGAACTGTAGGATTTCCTGCAGACAACTGTAAGTTGTGGCACCTGCAAGGGTCCACAACAGTGTCTGCCTGTGGTTATTGTACATCACCGTTGAGAGGCTTTCCTGTTTTGACAAAGCTGCACTACTAGACATTTCTGCCTGCGTTGTTTCAAATGATTTACACCTTCTTCTACAATGTGTTTTCCTCTTGCAGGTGGTGGCAAAAGAAGCATGGGAGAACCATCAACTGCGTAATGACTCGATTATCGTCGATATTTTTCATGGTCTTTTCAAATCCACATTGGTTTGCCCAAAGTGTTCTAAAGTTTCTGTGACTTTTGATCCCTTTTGCTATTTAACCCTTCCATTGCCCTTGAAGAAAGATCGACCCATGGATGTATTCTTAGTCTTTGCAGATCCGCAGCGCAGACCTACCCAAGTAAGTAAAGATGTTTCTGTGAATATTTGCCAATAGCATTACCTTCTTTGAGGGAAATGTTTTAGTCAACCAAAATGGGGAACAAACACGGAGGCCATTAAGAAATTTCTCTGGAAACCGTTAACACATTCTTCCCAATCTATAACACAGTAGTGCTGGCTGTATGAGGTTAGTGTGGCTCCTCGTTTAGCCCAGAACCTGAACACAGTATATCCCTGGAAAGGGAGTCTGTTACATTCCCATGCTGTACGTATGTCTGTAAAAGCCCTTCTGGAAACTGGGTGGGGAATAATGCATCTGAGGAGTATGTTACTCCATTAGACTGTAGGGAAGCAAACTGCTTGCTTTTTCTCCTCTTCAGCCCAGTGGCTTCTGGGTAGAGTGAGGATTATTGGGGGTTAAAGAGGTAAATTAGCTGTTACGTGCTGTTTCCCTTTTTTTTTTTTTTGCTGTTTTACTGATCTGTACATTCTGTCCACTTTGTTGTTAGAGAGAAGGAGTGGAAACTTTCATAAAACCATTGTAGAGTCACTCCAGCCGTACAGCAGCATCCCTATAAGGATGTATTTCCAAGCTTAGTGGACTTAAAAGAGTTAGGCCCTTGTTGTCTGCCCAAACTTACAGTACATCTACAAGGTCTCAAAAACCTGAGGTCTTTATGTTGCCTCCTATATGATCTGTCTTTCCCTCTGCTCCAAATGGACATCTGGAGCTGCTTATTTGCCTTCTGGGGGGAAATATATAGGCTGTCTTTTCTGTTATTTTATTATTGAATTTGTTTCCTGCTTTCCATTATTGTGCTTAAGGCAACAAACAAATCTCAGAGTTGTATCAACAGAAATTAGAAATGAGAAGATTGGTACAGTTATGGGAAACTGATAGAGTCAGATGATTGCAGTACGAATGGCACAGAGAGGGCTAATGTCTTGGGCTTTCCCTCTGCTGTTGTGATTGCTGTCTTCTGAATGGCAAACAGAGGGCTGTTTCCTTGGAAGCTTTCACAACCCATCTAGAATATCATAATATCTTGTATATATCACAGGCTGTCCATAGTTTTCTTCCAGTAATAATTCTAGGAGGTGATTGAAGTCGGGAAAAACAGTGTGTGGGGTGGAACGAGTTAAGCTCCCAAATTTTATTTATCAGTTAAAAAATACTGTTTTGGAGATACTTCTAACACCTTGTCTAATTTCAGTCAAAACCTAAGTATTTAAAAGGCCATAAAACATATTCCTCAATGTAGAGTGTGACTTCAATCATGCTGATTTTTAGAATTCATTTAGGCAGCCAGATTGCTTAGTTCTAGGTGGCAGAAGTATTTAAACCAAAAAACTAAATAAACAAAGGAAAAACTTCACAGCAAAAAAAAGTGGTGTTAATACATGTTATGATGGCATACTGCTTATATTTTAAAGTGGATTCCTGGCAATTCTGAGCATTGAAGGTGATGATGAATTGCTGGAATCATCTGAAAAACCTGCTGTGTTAAGGAAGGTGGCAATGACATAGTATAGAGAAGGAAATAAGCAAAGGGATCCGTTGCTATAATGGCACAACTTGAAGTTTAAAAACAGGATACATAACATAAATATGTTCTTCAGTAAGAATCTGGTATGGTATTTTTCTTATTCTTTCTGCAGAGTAAGTTACATTGAACCTAAAACAAAAAAGCAAACTAGTTTAACTGAAAAACCACAGTGGGATTCTTGGTTTTACAATGATTATTACTTATTTCTTCCTTCAATTATAGCTTTTCCCAGTCCCAGGAAAAAAACCCCCAAAGAGCGAAAAGTAAATCCAAGTAGAAAGAGAGAGAGAAAGGGGGGGGGGGATGGGCTTTAGACACTGTCTCTCACTCCCCACCTCCTCCTCCAAATTTCCTTCTGTAATGGTATTTATTACAACCAGATAAAGAGGGGAGCAGTGTTCCCTCTAAGCTGAGTTAGTGTGAGTTGGCTCACAGTTTTTTAGCCTCCAGCTCACAGATTTTTGTCTTAGGTCAGGAAGGATGGCTCCAGAGCAAACGGATTTATGCAATAGCCAATTCGATCGCTCTCAGCTTTAATGCCAGTAGCTCACAAAGTCGAATTCTTGCTCACAAGACTCCACAGCTTAGAGGGAGCATTGGAGGGGAGACCTTTAAACCTTTAGTTATAATTCTCAGTCTACTCTTGAGAACATTGCAGGCAGATTCTCTTTCTTCTTCTATCTTCGGTCGTTCCCTTGCACACAGCTGAGAGCCGGAATGGCTGCTGTACCCACCAGGTGAACGAGGCTGTCTTTGGGTCTCTCTACACCCGGGCTAACTGAGAGGAGTGACCCAAAAATGCGCCTCACTGATTTCAGAGGCCCCTACCAGGAGCCTCTAGACCACCCCCCAAAGTGGGCCAGTTCAGCACGTCTCTGTAGCTTCTCCGAGACACAAACAGAAAGCCCACTACATAAACAGGATTATTGATGCTTTTTTTGTTTAGTGTATATTCCATGCCAGAGTTTATTTTGCCTAGTTTAAATTTTAATTCTCTGTTTATTTCCAGTATCGGGTAGTTGTGCCAATGATGGGGGCTGTGTCTGACCTGTGTGATGCACTCTCAAAACTTTCCGGCATCCCTGCAGAAAATGTAAGAATAAACTATGATGATCAGTTAAATGTGTAGATTCTGTTTTAGACATGTTAAAATATTAGTCAGAAAACTATAAGGGCATTTTTAAAAGCTAGTTTAATGTATAAAATGACATTTTTATTGGATCAATTTCTGCTGATGGAGAGATATGCACATTTGGCCAGGAACTGCACAATATTGAAATTACTCAAGGTCTTTTTTTAATCCTTCTGTTCGTATTCAGCCAAGGCTGTTCATTACAAGCTTATTTTTAAAGAATTGTTAAATTTTGTTTTTAGGGAAAGAAATGAGCAGTTTGATTCTAGTTACAATATGTTAAAATGCTTGATATCCACATGGAGGTCAGAAGTTCAAACAGAAAAGCAAAATAATGAAATAGGATAAATAGTTTAAGTAAAAATTAACTGATACAAGGTTACAGTCTGATGATACATGCTACTTAAAATTTCTAAAAAGTGGGTCCTGTAGAACTGTAACTGTTATTGAATGTAAGAATATCAGCTACACCATCCTGGGCACATCGACTTGCACATCATCCAGTTTAATAAATGCCATCATGTGCCAATAATGCCCTTGTACTTTTTGCAATGGACAGAGTTTGAGCTCTGCATGAGAAAATCAATGAACACAAACGGTAAATAAGGAGGAATCACAGCATTCAGAAACCAGCAGGGAACCTACCTCACAGGGTAGTTATTGTAAGAACAGAGTGGAGGAAGGGTGAATGATAAATAGGCTACTTTGGATCCCCATTAGGAAGAAAAGTAGTGTGCTAATTTTTCTGCATCCTTCCTTTCTAGCATTTCTGAATTCTTTCGTGTCTGGGCCTCTTAAAGCCTTGAGGATATTGTTTCTTTGGCAAGCTATTACAGCAACCAGTTGTTTGGCTTAGTAAAAGTATGCTTTCTGAATGTTCTTTTAATTTCAATCTCCGTTTTTGTGACAAGCAAACAGTGGCTGAACTCTTCTAACAAAATAAATGTTTAAAAAAGTTACAGGAAGATGGCGAAAGAATATAGAAGGATCGCTCATGACAATGAATTTAAAACACCCTGAAGAACCACGATCATTATTGATCTCATGGCATTATAAACAAAGCCCATCTTTTTATGAACTGATCAGCCCTTGTATCTTCTGGATTTGTAATTCTGTTTTGAAATGGCAGTTTAGACATGAGAGCAATTTTCCATACTTTCATAACTCGGTTATTAATGTGGTAGACCACAGAGGATTTCTAACAGAATGTTGCTCATTTTGAGGCTGTTAACAAGCTCATTATGAACTCTGTATCTGAAGTAGAACCTTTAATGTAACATAATACAGCAGCAACTACAGAGTCAAATGGTAAAATCATTGATTAATTCTAAAATACAAACAAAGGTCTGGTGCCAAAAAGCTTGCATTTTAGAACATCTCTAGAGAATATGTAATGAATTTGCCTGACTTGAATGACTTCTCCAACCTAAGTCCTGGTATCCAGGGAGGCTAAATTCCTTATAGCCAAGATACTGGGCATTCCTGTTATTGGTCACTATTTGTTGTTTTATTGATCTTAATTGTAGGTATCTCATGAACTACTGATAAAGAACCCCTCAGTGTTGCAGAGACTTTTGTTGAAAATGCTGGAGAGAAATTATTCCTTATTTTTCTGATGTGAAAGAAACTTGACTGTATCATACTTGGGTTTTCTCACTTCCACTCTTAATTTTTGCTGTTCTAGATGATGGTGACAGATGTTTATAATCACAGATTCCACAAAATTTTCCAGATGGATGAAGGCTTAAGTCATATTATGCCTAAAGACAACATCTTTGTGTGAGTAACCATCTCTCTCAACAAGGTGGATATGACTGTACATTGTATAGCACTTGATTTTTAGCCACCTAAGCAACCTGATTCCCATAATCTCTTTTAAGGGTGTTCCAGCAGTTCTTGCATTGTGGTATAGGCTGACCTGTGGCCTGCCACTATGTGCGCCATATCAGTGACTTCGGGGATGCATATTTGTTGAATATTGCATTTTTAAAAGGACACTGCCTTCTTAAGGGTTTGTAATAATTATTACAGAACTATATTGGTATTAGTAGATTCCAGCAACAACTGAGACAGCATTTCACTGAGCACATTGCAGAGAATGTTCTCCATCATGTCAAAATAAATAGGCAGCTCCAAAAAACATGAGAAAATTCAGTGATCGTTCCCATGAATTCAAGCATAGACGAAGTCTTGTAGATAAGTAACAACAGAATATTGAAGCTACGGTCAGAATCCTAGTTAGGAAGGCTAGTTGCAAGTCAAGGCCTTTGCTTCTGCTTTTACTCCTTTTCCTCTCCCACTCTGTCTTCCACTGTGTCTGATGTGGACTCAGATTGCTGAACATTTATTGCATTATTTATGTTGGTTTGTACAGTCCTATAAAGCAGGCATGTCCAACTTTGAACAGGTAGTGATCTATTTTTTCCGGCCAAAATTGCCGGCGGTCTACTACCATGAAAATAAAGTTTCAAATTCGTTTCAAATTAGATTTTAACACACTAAAGTTGGGTTCCACCGCCTACCCCCACCCCCCATTTATAATGCACCTGTCATTTACTGGTAAGCAAACCAGGAGACTAAGTGGGGCTGGTGATCTACCCCTGACCCCTCCGCGATCTACTGGTAGATTGCGATCTACCTGTTGGACATACCTGCTATAAAGCAATGTATACATGCAACACTTGAGGATAAACTCTGTGTGAGCAGTACTTTGTCAGTCTGTAGTCATCCGAATACATACCGCTAGAACTTTTCCTGTGGTGGGCGGACTTGGTTACCTTGAGCCTGGTTTGGTCCAGCATTATTCATGTATGTACATTTTGCATTAAAGTGGGTGGAATTTGGGATAGCTACAAGGAATTGGTGGAAGAGACTTTACATCTATGATTATTTCTTTTATGTTGTGGTTATGTAATACAGCGTTTGATGGCTGTTCCTTATATTGTAGACTCAGGCTAGTGCATTGATGTCTTTGAGAGAGAGAAAGATAGGTTATTTATGGTAATTGTAGCAACAGAGCCCCTAAAATGTATGCATGTGTAATTAAATTTTTAATGGAGACCACACATTTAATAGTATTCTGGTAGTTTTAGACCTCAGGGTACACAAACTGAACAGATTTTGCAACAGAAGAAGAATAGCAGCACTGTATCTCTCCCTTATATAAAAAGCCGTAGTGGGCCCCAACATTCCAATGCACACCAACAGTGTTTGGAAGCTTGAACTGTCTGTCAGAAGACGCTGGCTGAGTTGACTGGCTGCTTTGTGTAGTCCCGCCCACGTCAGCCCCGGCGAGTTCAGTCTGCTCAGTCTGCTCTGGGCCTCTGACAGGAGAGGACCATCTGCAGACTGAACGCAGGGACGGGGCTTCTACGGCTGGGCTGCGTCAGCCCACTCTTCTCTGACTGGGCCAGCGTTTCAAGGTCATTTGAATATGGAAGCTGATTGGACTTCACTCCATTCCACACCTCAAACTCCCCCCCCCGTAAGACAGTTGGAATTGTCGCATATGTGGCCTACTGTATTCTGAGGTAAAATATGTCCTCACTCACAACACATTACTTCCCCTTCAAAAGAAACAAACCCAATAACACAATCATGCCACACCACAAAAAAGACAGATCACACCACAAGCAGAATACCACAAGGCAAAAAATGATAGGAAAAGGTGCCAGTAGTCACCCCATTACTGCCACAGATGGTGTGCAGGTCCCAGGTTCATGTTTTAAAAGCTGCCTGGGGGATTATGGACCATTCACACACTTTCAACCTTAACACACCTCATAGGGTAGTTGTGCGGATCATACGGGGGAAAGGAGAATGAAGTCGGCTGCTTTGGTTCCCACTGCAGGGAAAGACTGCCCTTTCCCTAGGCAGAGGCTGTGGGGGGGGATGTAAACCTGAAGACAGACAGGCAGATAA